ACCACCTCGCAAAAGGGGCACCGAATTATCGGTTGGTAGGCGCTATGCCATGGCGGTAGGAATTGTCGACTTTTTCTATTTTTTCCCCGCCACCAACCACCCTTCTTTTTGTCCCGCAAGTGTCTTGATTTTAGTGTGCCCCCCCGAGTGTCTTGGTTTTAGTGTGGTTCACTACTATACTGCTTTTAGTATAGGGGGCGCGACATGGATCGTTGAGTAGAGGGGGGGGTTGGATGAGGACCCTACTGTCGCTTGCTTTGCCCCGCAAGTGTCTTGTTTTTAGTGTGGTCACCCCAAGTGTCTTGTTTTCAGTGTGGGGCCACTATGCTGTTTTTAGTACGGGGGACGCATGATGGATCGTTGAGTAGAGGGGGGGGTTGGATGAGGACCCTACTGTCGCTTGCTTTGCCCCGCAAGTGTCTTGTTTTTAGTGTGGTCACCCCAAGTGTCTTGTTTTCAGTGTGGGGCCACTATGCTGTTTTTAGTACGGGGGACGCATGNTATAGGGGGCGCGACATGGATCGTTGAGTAGAGGGGGGGGTTGGATGAGGACCCTACTGTCNGCCCCCCCCTGCCTGGTCGGAGGGGGCAGGATACATGCAAAATACGGCCTTTTTCAGGCCGACTGGTTTTTTCTCGGCCGCTCATGCACGCGGGGTGGCGCATGCATAAAAATAAAAATAAATGTTTCTTGCTAAAAAAACTCCGAAGATTTCAACAAAAAAATCGGAAAACAGATCGGACACGGTTAAGGGCCCGTACAATTTTAGGTACCCTAACTTATGATACAGAGGAAGTATGAGATTTAGAACTGCGGAGGAAGATTGTCGCTTAAAAGAATCGTTCGGTTCCCACCTGCCTCTCTAACAACCCCGCCCGGTTGTTGAGCACCTGGGCCAAACAAGGATGCTCCGGCTAGCCACCTTCTCTAGCATAGCTTGTGACCGCTTGTACAGTGAATCGGCCTCAATGTACTTGTTCTGGCATGCAGTCGTACACAGCGTGGCAGAGTTGTATTTGTAGGTCGATCAAATTGGGATCTACAACACGTGCGGGAATGAATCCGTCCCAACCGCCCCCGCCCCGTTGCCGACCGTCTGGACACATCTGGGTACTCCAGGCCCCGAGCCTTCCCCCACATGGCTCATGACTGTTCGAAGAGTAACTCTATATCAGCACGCTTACCATGACATGTGGTGAACGGCGGCGCAGAGAGTCGGACGAAAGTCAATATGATATTAAGAACTGCGGAGGAAGATTAAGATTGTCTTTTAGAAAAATCGTTCGATTCTCACCTGATTAGCCAACAACCCCGCACGGTTGTTGAGCGTGTTGGCCAAACGAGAATGCTCCGGATCTAGTATGGCCTCTGTCCGCTCGTACAGTGGCTCGGCCTCAATGTACTTGCCCTGGCATGCAGTCGTACACAGCGTGGCAGAGGTGTACCGTGATTGTGCGTGTGATGGCACACATCGTTGATTTTGCACCCATCGGTGTTATGGCACCAGGATGCGCAAAAATATCAAGAACGGCGCGATTGAATTGTGTTTCCGCACCGGTATCGGTGTTATCGCACCCAATATCAATAACGGCATGATTAAATTGTATTTCCGCACCGGTATCGGTGTTATCGCACCCGGTGCGATATCAACGATATAAAACCTGCTAGGACGAAAATTTGCATGCTTGCGCAAGGTATCGGTACCCTCCCGGCGACGTGTCCAACAGTATGTAACGCGGTTGGCAGGTGCCAATTGGGGCGCCATTTCATGCATGTAGAAATGAATGAAGTTTTATTTCTACGGTAATCCGTACATCGAATGCACTCACTCACTCAACCAAGCACACAGCAGTACACATCCCGTACCTCCAACCAACCGAACAAGAAGAAGAAGGAGTTCGTTAACGGTACTTCGATTGTACCGGTGCCATGCCCCTTGAGGCAGACAAGAGGGAAGCACCAGCCAACAAAAGAGGGGCTTGCGACCAACAAAGAGGCTGGAAGAAAAATGATGCGGTGCCGTATACCTTCCCCAGCAGGGAACCACAGAGTCGGTTCTCTTTGGCACCACGCCACCCCAAACTCGGATTCGACGTCATCACTGATCACCACTCCGGGCTGTTTGCATGGTACCGCCCACGCAAGCTACATGTACCAGGAACCGCCTGTTCGTTTTCGAGTATCTCACCCATCGGTGTCATCGCACCGGGGTGCGTTCACTCAGCACCGTATCATGGCCACTGTAAGTTCTCCAAATCGCACCCATCGGTGTCATCGCACCGGGGGTGCGTTGGAAATCTAGAACGAAATGATTTAATTGCATTTCCGTACCGGTATCGGTGTTACGGCACCCATCGGTGTTATTTAAGGCACCGTGGTGTGGTAAAAAACCAACATAGGAATGACATAAACAACGATCGCACCCCGGGGCTATCGCACGCACAAATACGGTATAGTACAATCAAAGTGACATCTACAACACGTGCGAGAATAAAACCTTCTCAATCGACCCCGCCCGGTTGTCGACCGCCTATACACATCTGGGTACTCCAGGCCCCGAGCCCTCCCTCCAATGGTTCATGACTGTTCGGAGAGTAGCTCTGTCTCAGCACACGTGCCATGATACGAGGTGAACGGCGCGGCAGAGAGGCGGACGAAAGTCATAATAAGATCTAGAACTGCGGAGAAGATCGTTTTCTCAACGAAAGGTTCACCTGCCTCCCTAACACCCCCGCCCGGTTGTTGAGCAAGGTGGCAACTGTTGGGTGGTCAGCACCTAGCGCTTCTCCCAAATCGCGGTGGACCGCCCATACAACGGCTCGGTCTCAAAATACTTCCCATGGAATGGAGTCGACAGCGTGATAGGGTCGTGTTGTAGCACAAGGGTTGTAAACCTGTGGAGGGACATGGTTTTTCTAGATGCTTCTAGAAGCACCGCTTGACTCTCACCTGAATCTCCAATAACTCCGCCCCTGTTGTTGAGCACTACCGAAATCTATCGGGTAGCACAAGAAACTTGCTAGAATTTCCTGATGGCTCTCACCTGCGCTCTCAACAACTCCCGGTTGTTGAGCGACTGGGCCACGTCTGGATGTTCTGGACCAAGTACCTTCTCTCGTATGGCTAGAGATCGCTCATAAAGTTGTTCGGCGTCGTCGTACTTGCCCTGCATAGCAAGAAGTGGGTTATGTGAGGGAGCGGTTCGCCAGGGTCTGAACAGATACATGGACACGGTAAACCCTACGAAAATTCCTGGAAAAATCTGGTGGCTCTCACCTGTGCCTTCAACAACTCCGGCGCGGTTGTTGAGCATTTGTTCCGCATTGAAGTATCTACTATTAAAAGCTTTGACAACACTTCTTCCTGTCGTGCCTTTCCTTCATGTTTCAGGGCAAGTACGACAAAGCTGGGCCGCTGTATGAACGTTCCCTTGCCACTCGCGAGAAAGAATACGGGCCTGATCATCCAGACGTGGCCCAGTCGCTCAACAACCGGGCTGTTGTTGGAGAGTCAGGTGAGAGCCGACAGAGAATGTTAGCAAACTTCTTGTGGTACCCGATAGATTTCGGGTGTGCTTAACAACAGGGAGTTGTTGAAGAATCAGTTGAGAGCCATCAGAATTTTCTGAGAAATATATTGTGGTTTTCTGTCGATGTTGTAGCGCTCAACAACCGGGCGGAGTTGCTGAAGGCACAGATGAGAGCCACCAGATTTTTCCATGAATTTTCGTAGAGTTTACCGTGTCCACGTATCTGTTCAGACCCTGGCGAACCGCTTCCTCACACAACCCACTCCTTGCTATGCAGGGCAAGTACGACGACGCCGAACAACTTTATGAGCGATCACTAGCCATACGAGAGAATGTACTTGGTCCAGAACATCCAGACGTAGCCCAGTCGCTTACACCACCCCACTGCTTCCTCCACAGGGCGAGTACGAGGAAGCCGACCCTCTCTATCTGCGAGCTTTTAAGATTGGGGAGCAGACGCTAGGCCCTGACCACCCAACTCTTGCCACCAGACTCAACAACCGGGCGCCACCCCACTGCTTCGTCCACAGGGCAAGTACGAGGAAGCCGACCCTCTCTATCTACGAGCTATTAAGATTGGGGAGAAGACGCTAGGCCCTGACCACCCAACTCTTGCCACCAGACTCAACAACCGGGCGGCCCCAGACTCAATAACCGGGCGGCCCGGTTGTTGAGTCTGGTGGCAAGAGTTGGGTGGTCAGGGCCTAGCGTCTTCTCCCCAATCTTAATAGCTCGTAGATAGAGAGGGTCGGCTTCCTCGTACTTGCCCTGTGGACGAAGCAGTGGGGTGGCGCCCGGTTGTTGAGTCTGGTGGCAAGAGTTGGGTGGTCAGGGCCTAGCGTCTGCTCCCCAATCTTAAAAGCTCGCAGATAGAGAGGGTCGGCTTCCTCGTACTCGCCCTGTGGAGGAAGCAGTGGGGTGGTGTAAGTGACTAGGCGAGAGAGAACCAAGCGATCAAAACAAGTGTGAACCCTACGAAAATATTGGAAAATTCTCACAGCTCTCACCTGGCTCTGCAACAACCCCCCCCCCGGTTGTTGAGCCACACGGCAAGATCTGGATGCTCTGGGCCCAACGCCTTCTCTCCGATAGCGATAGCTCTTACGTACAAAGGTTCCGCGTCGTCATACTTTCCCTGCGATACAAGGGAAAAGAGAGAGGAAGGTGTGGTCATTGCGATCATCGTAGATTACGTTGCGGAGGAAAAAATGCACGACCGAAGTCGTTACACATGCTTCCAGAAATATCGTTTGGCTCTCACCTGACTCTTCAACAACCCGCACGGTTGTTGAGCGCCACGTACAACATCCACAGGCCGCCAAGACATTTCAACTGGAAAAGTCTCGCGGCTCTCAACTGCGCTCTCAACAACTCCGCCTGGTTGTTGAGCACTGTTGCCACCGCAGGATGATCAGGCCCGTAAACTTTCTCGCAAATGGCAAGGGAACGATCATACAGCGGCCCGGCTTCGTCGTACTTGCCCTGAAACGTAAAAGGCACGATAGGAACAAGTATTGTCAAAACTATTTAGACCTTCTCGTGTGCTTCTAGAACAAATCATGGCAGTTAATGATCTAGAAGCCGGCTTATATCTTCCTCCATTTAATCATGTCACAATGGCAGTTTTGCAAACTGTTGCTACGGAACGGTGCCGCCTAAAGTGGGCTCTACACCGTTTTTTACAGGGAAAGATAGCTGAGGCGCAGCCGTTGTTCGAAAGAGCTCTGGTTATCAAAGAAGTTGCTCGGGTGGTCCACCCCCAGAGCAACTTCTTTGATAAAAAGAGCTCTTTCGAACAACGGCTGCGCCTCGGCGAACTTTCTCTGTAAGAAACATTCGAGAACAGTTTACAAATTGCAACGTGACAGCGAAATTACGGTGGCACCGCCATGGTCCGTAGCGAAGTTCCCACCGGGACATGAATTAACGGATGAAACAACAGTCTCCCAGACCATTGACACCGCGCTCACATTGTCCCACGTGTTCTACAACCAGAACGGAGGTCTAGAGGCATCTAGAAGCATCTAGAAAAGCTTTGAAGGAAAATCAAGAACCATCTTCTAGAAGGAAGAATCGCTTGGCTCTCGCCTGACTCATCAACAACCCCGCCCGTTGTTGGAGCGTCAGGTGAGAGCCATGAAAAATTCCAGGAACTTTCGGCGGGTACACATTCGTTTTGAGGGTTTGGTTCTCCTTCGGCCAGTCGCTTACACCACCCCACTGATTTGTACACAGGGCAAGCACGAGGAAGCCGACGCTAGGCCCTGACCACCCAACTCTTGCTACGAGACTCAACAACCGGGGCGCGGTTGTTGAGTGTGGTAGCCACACCAGGATGTTCCGGACCTAGCACCTTCTCTTGTATGCCCTGTGATCGCTCGAACAGTGGCTCTGCCTTAATGTACTTGCCCTGGCATACAGTGGTACACAGCGTGGCAGAGTGTTCATAGTTCGATCAAAGTGGATTAATAACAAGTGTGGATTCAAATATTCTCAAACGCCCCCGCCCGGTTGTCGACCGCCTGGACACATCTAGGTACTCAAGTCCCCGAACCGTCCCTTCAATGGCTCGTGACCGTTTGCAGAGTAGCTCTGTCTCAGCACACTTGCCACGATATGTGGTGAACGGCGCCAGGCAGGGTCCGATTGCGGTGTGTATCTAGAACTGCTAGAGGAATCGTTCGGTTTTCACCTGGCTCCCAAAAAAGCACGCCCGGTTGTTGAGCGTTGCCAAAATAGAATGCTCCGGACCCAGCACCTTCTCTCGTATAGCTTGTGAACGCTCGTAAAGTGGCTCGGCCTCAATGTACTTGCCCTGGCATGCAGTCGTACACAGCGTGGCAGAGTTCTATTTATGGTTCAACCAAAGTGGGATCTACAGCAAGTGTGGACTAAAACCTTCAACCGCCTCCGCCCGGTTGTCGACCGCCTGGGCATATCTGGGTACTCCAGGCACCGAGACTTTCCTTCAATGGACCATGACCGCCGAAGAGTAGCTCTGTCTCAGCACACTTGCCATGACAAGCGGTGAACAGCGCGGCAGAGAGCCGGACGTGGTTCAGTTCGAGATCTAGAACTGCGGAGGAAGATTGTCTTCTAGAAGAGCCGTTCGGTTCTCACCTGATTAGCCAACAAGCCCGCCCGGTTGTTGAGCGTTGTGGCCACGTCAGGGTGCTCCGGACCTAGTTCTTTCTCTTGTATAGCTTACGAACGCTCGTACATTGAATCGGCCTTCATGTACTTGCCCTGGCATGCAGTCGTACAAAGCGTGGAGAGGTGGCAAAAAAAGGTTCAATCGAAGTGGGATCCAACCGACCCCGCCCAATTGTCGAACGTCTGGACACACCTGGGTACTCCAGGCCCCGAGCATACCTCCAATGGCTCAAGACCGTTCGAAGAGTAGCTCTGTCTCAGCACACTTGCCATGACATGTACGTCAGGATGCTCTAGACCTAGCACCTTCTCTCCTCTAGCCTGTGACCGCTCGTACAGCAGTGGCTCGGCCTCAACGTACTTGCCCTGGCATGCAGTCGTACACAGCATACCAGAGTGCTATTTATGGTCCAATCATATCGGGACTTACAACAGGTGCGGAATATAACCCTTCCTAACCGCCCATGTCTGGCTGTCACCGCCTGGACACATCTGGGTACTCCAGGCCCCGAGCCTTCCGTCCAACGGCTCATGACCGTCCGAAGAGTAGATCTGTGTGAGCCACAGACGTTGCTCCAACAGGAAAAAGTTGGAAAAGCACGACGAAAAGCAGCCCGGGTACCAGTGACAATAAAATAGCACCCGCGGAGCCCCTCCCCGAGCACTGACCAACGGTCAAATCACCAGCACGTTCAGCACGACGGCGCGCGACGCTCAGCGGAAGGAGAGAGACCAAACTGCGCGAGAAGCTCAATGAAGTCACATACTACACGTGTGAGTGATTTATAACGGTGTATTGTACCTGAGGTGATTGAAATTCGTGTCGTTGGCCTGAGGCAGGCTGCGGCCTGTTTTACGAGCCACGGTTCCGCCGCTTCGGGAGACGAACTTTGACGCCCAGTTGCGGAGCGTGAGGTACACAAAATGAACCAGCGGCCGGAGGGCTCAAGCATTTGATAAGCACAGGCCTGAAAAATCGGTTATAGAGTTTGGGATCTGGTCTGAAGAAACCGATACAGACCATTCGGATATGGTGCCTCAAAACGCGGCGGAACCTCATAAAACGGCGCAGTAGCTGCGCCCGGTCGTGAGTCCCTGCTGCCGCTACAGTCATATCTGTCTCAAAATGATGTTCTGTAGTCCTTCCAACTAGTCTTGGTTTTGTCAACAGACTTTTTTATTTGTTGTTCACGAAATCTTGACAGGTTTTCATCCGATGTCGGCAACTGGAAACCGCTGTACCGCGTGCCTTAGAGGAGAACGAGAAGCTTCTGCCTTGCGGCACATGAGGCCCAGGACCAGCAGCCAAGTCCGGGCGTTCGTAGACGAGATTGGCATTGCAAACCAGTTTCCTGCCTTGGACGAGGGGGGGTTAGGTGCGAGCACCCTCACACTGTGCAAGCGTTCTGGTTGCTTGCTGCAATTGTACAAAAAGCACGAGCAAAGGATGAGCAAGGAGCGGAGTAAAGACCGGAGAGCACGTAAGGCAGCGCAGACACCCCGCCATGCCACGGGTATGTGGACTGTACCTGAACCACAAACGCACCTGAAGCGACGGTGGCTTGATAGGTACTGCACTTCACCTGAGGCGGTGGAAGCTTTACTGGGTGCTGTGTCTATCACAGGATGTATTTTGGACGTGTGCGGCGGGCCCACGGACGCCGTGGCGACCCGTCTTGGACCCACGTGTGAGGTCCTCACGAACGACGTGAGCTCGGGGTAAGAACGGTGTGTGAGGGTATCTGAAAGTAGGCCAACAATTAAAATCTCTGCACATGCTAACTCATTTCACGTAAGGGGAGCTATCTTTTCAAACATGCATGTGGCCATTGTATATCCAGTGGGTGCCTTTGGTGAAAGCAAGACTATCACTTTTGGATAAACGGTATTTCTTCCATATGAGGTGCGCGATCGCTGAATTTCTTTTGACTGCTGTTCTCGATGCCAGGCGTCCCGCGGATACCAACCTTGACGCCAGCTTGGAGTCCTTCCCGGACGACTTTTTCGCAGCTTCCTCGGGGAAGAGGCCTGACTGGGTGGTGACGAGCCCTTCGTACAAAAGTGCTCTTACTTTTGTCAAGGCCGCGATGTCGTTGGCTACGAGAGGCGTGACGGTCCCTGCGCCGACCGGGGTGGTTGGCTTCAAACGAATCCCCCATCTGTGTGCGTCTTTCTGCGGAGAGCCAAATACACACGTGTGAACAAATTAAAGATGGGCGAATTATGGGGTGTGTGGTATACTCAGGACATTAGCTGCGACACCACGACGAGGCTTGTCTTCTGTTCTGATTAGCATGGCTGCGATTTCGAGCACAGGATGGTCGGATGTGCAAGTTTAGCGTGTGAAATTGTTTGGTTCGAGCGGGGTAATAAACAAGGCGAAACGTTCCTTCCGAGTTTCTTAAATAAGGAACAATGGTTGTCGGAGGAGATGCCTCTAACACAACTGTGTGGGGGATGGGGCATATTCGGATAGTGTAATGACTCGAGCACGATCGAAGATGCCAGCGCGTGCACGAAAATTGGTTCTGAGGTGCTCCCTTTTCTATTGTCGTGGTCTCGGCATGAAGAAGGATTTGCTTGGCACGCGTGTTCCTTGCGTAAGAACAAACAAAAACGCGGTGTATGGGGTGGACGATGAAAGAGTGGCTGAGTTCCTTGAAGTGAAGCAGTTGCCAGCACCTGTGACACCGCTCATGGTGAAACTTTAACATGTACCAATGCAAGCTAACAACAATATTTTGCTAACCGATACACGAAAAGCAAACCGACGCCTCAAGTTGACCGTTCATTAGTCCCAGTTCGTGAAGGTACCGAGGTACGCGTATCACCAGGCTGCAGATTCAGCTGTTGTCCTACATGGCAGTGCGAAGCGTATCCCTCTATTTGCTCGTACTCATGAACGTCATCCTCCCGGAAACTACAAGGACCTAAAACCACGACGCCGGTCCCCAACTTCGCTTCCCCGTTCGAACAACCAAACATACCCGGCAAAGGTTCCTCATCGCTGTCGCTGCTGTCACTATCTGAAACCACCTGCCCTTCCTGTGCTAAATAATCTTCCCGCATCTCATTTTCTTCCGTCTCTTCCTCGCGGCATGTGAGCTTGCACTTGCACAACTCTGAGCATTGACCGAAACCTTTAGTGGTGCAAACGCACCTCGTGCAGTGACCGCCTCGCTTCCTCTTCCCAAATGAACACATGCACCTCACCGTTTCAAACCCACCCGACCAGATGGTCACCTTAGGGACCCTGCGCATCAACATCATACAACCGCCTTCAACCTCCGTATTCTCGATGTACCCCATCCCGTCCCACTTGGGAATTTGAATGGGGTACCTGGCAGAGACGTCCGAAGCCTGACAGCCACTCGGCACAATAGAAAGCCAATATTTTACCAGCCACGACATCCGCAGGACACAGGGGTGGGTGGCATCATAGTTCGGGGCGGCATGCCTGATGTTCCCCGCACCAAACCATTTTTCAGCAGTTCGCTCCTTGATCGCTTCAACCCACTGTTTGGTGTCATCGACCTCCCCTCCCCGTTCATCTCCCGTGACTTGATGCCCTGGCAACGCATTGGGAAACAAACTCTTGTTCTTGACAAAGTACGCGAGCGAAACAAATTTGACCAACTCTTGCTTCTCCAAATGTAAACCGGTGACCACCCCATCCTCTATAATTTCGGAGCCCAGGGCCTTCACAAACTGTTGGTTTTCGGCATTCTTCGCTGACTCGAAGTATGATTGGAACATGAAAAAAGAAGTCAAGCAAAAAACGTAGGAGAAAAGTCAGTGCCGTTGAGTATGTATGCGGCAATCACCGGCAAGCACCTCTGCAAATCGGTGAACGAATGTGGCCAATTCCCCATTTTGTGTCAGGGCCTCAAAAAGCTCAAGTACGTCGATGCAGTTAACGACGGTCTCATCATTCAACCCACTCTGTTGTCGCACGACCACTCGAACTCTTCTAGTGTGCAGGTATAGGGCATACGCGAGAAGGGCTGCTACCCAAACGTCCGTGTCGACAGATACTACCTCTACCCGAACGGGTTGTGTCTCCACTTTCCTCTCCCGGTTGCTCTCGGGCCTACTGCCGTCATTCCGTGCCGTCAGTGGACTCCGTAGTCGGGAAACTAGGTAGGCGTGGTGCAGTGCCTGTAGCTCCCCTTCCCCTATACCGTTATCCTCATCAGCGATGAAGAAGCCGTGTTCGTCGTTGTGCCACGACCTTAAATGCGTTGTCTTCAAATAATCAGGGGACAGGATGGCCTCGCCGTCAATTCGTAAACTTAATTTACCCAGACAATAGTCATGGAAGTCCAATGGAACCTCTCCGGATTTTTCATCGTGAAATTTTTTAAGCCGCTCACGAATGTACTCGCAT